TATTGCCTACCCAAAGATTTTGTGAGTGGGTGGCATTCATGTGACCACACTGTTTCCTGCTGTTGTCACCCACATTCCTTGCTTTTAAGGTCTAAGAAACACACAAATTCAATTTTCCCCAAATAAGTTCCCTTCAATTTGTTGAGCTTGTGTGTCACCCACATAGATGATCAATCCTCATTTGCTATTTGTATGCCTAGTTCTTTTTCCCATTTTGTTTTAATGTAAGTATTATTCCCTTTGTGCTTCTGGAGGCCTTGGTATTATTTTCTCATTATTCTGATTATACGCTTCAATCAAAATATATACATTATGATGCTAATAAAGAAACAAATTAAGACAAAAGAAAAAAAGGAGAGGAGGAGGCACAGCTCCTCCTCCTGATAGTTCTATTAAATGGCTTCTCCAGCACTTTTTCTCCAAAGCAGTTCGTACTTCACATTGACATGATGCTGGTGACTCTCTGTGCTCTCATCTCTGCTCTAACATGTAAACACTTTGATTTATATTGCACACATATATACTGATGTCAATGTGTTTCTTGTGACTTCATATCTTCTTGTTGTTTGCAGGTGTGAGTGGTGTGACGGTGCTGACACAGAATCCTGTTCTATCAGTGAGGAAAGGAGAGACAGCCACCATGGACTGCAATCTGGGGACTGTTACTAGCAGTGCTGCTCGTTGGTATAAACAGATTCCAGGAGGAGTTCCTCAGTTTGTGCTGTAGTTTCATCATAACGATAGTTCTCCAACCTATGCCTCTGGATTCTCCTCTCCAAAATTCACATCCACTCATCAGTCAACAACAGATTATCGTTTGATCATCAAGAATGTGGAGGAGGGAGACTCTGCAGTCTATTACTGTCAGACATATGACGGCTCTGCTAGCAGTTGGGTATCACAGTGATTTACTCTGTGACAAAAACCTCCTCACAGATACTTCTGCTTTTTTATGCTCTTTGGCATCCTGATAAAAGACACCTTCAACAAAAACACTGAAACCCCACCACCTTCAAATACTGTGTTATTTGTTTTGTTTTTTATTTCAATATTAATCAGAAAAATCAGGAAAAAAGCCAAGAGGGGACTATTCAGTCAAAACTACTCAAATAATGATATACAAAACAGGAGACCAAAACTATAATTTTTTGTATGTCCTGTCTGACACTGTAGCAATCAGAAATATTGTCTCAAGGCCAAGGAAAATGTCCAACAGATTTATTTTTTGCAAGCTGATCGTTACAGCTTTTGCCATAATGGTCCACTTGATTGTCACAGTTTGTTCGATATTTGTTATTTATGTATTGATTTCTTTTTTTACTTTTAAGTTATTACAATCTAAATGGACAGAACCTGGGGATAGGAAAGACAAACAAAAGAGAAGTTGGAAAGAGGCTCAAGAGAAGGAGAGGTAAAGAAAAACAGAGAAAAAAGACACTAAAAATATGTTTGATCACCTGCTGGAAAAAAAAACACAAGCAAAAAGAGAACAACACAGTATGGAAACCACAGCAACAACCAACATAACCATAAGTAACAGTAAATATTGATTGTTACTGAGCAGCACACAAGACCGATATGTTTAGAGGCAGCAGTCACCCAAGAATTGTGAGTACTTTTTTGTACACACCTGTGTGCAAACAGATATTCACCACCAGCATTGTGCACCAGGATTAGAAGAGTTACATCCTGGGTGTTAGTAACAGTGGTGCTCAGTTTCATCCATTTGCAATAATATGTGTCACAGTGATAATCAGATTGTTTAACTCTCAAGATGTAGATGAGAGAGGCTGGTATTTGTTTTTGTGAATCGGGGGAACTATAATAAAACGTTTGTATTACAGTGATCTGTATTTGAACTCTTTGTTCAGTTGTTCAATATTCATTAATGATGTAATATTTTATAAAATGTTCTCCTAACCCGAACCACTCTGGTTTCATGAGACGTTACTCAAAAGGTTATGCATTTTGTTTGTTGACTAATTATAAAAGTTAGTGGGGTTCTGCTCTGTTTTTCTCCAAATATAAATATAAAAAGTGGTAATGGTTAAAGCATCAATAATAAATCTGAAGGACATAGTTATTTATGATACTTATGATAATAAAATATAGCACCACAATTTTAGGGGAGAGGAGGGAGACATCACTATCACCAACAATTATTAATACAAAAGCAGAATTACCCTCTACATAAGTTACCCAAAACATCACAAACTATCCAGGTTTAGCTCCTCCTCCTGTCAGTTTCTCTGAGTTTCAGTGTCATATTTAATGGGTCACACCTCCTCTCCTCCTACAGAAGCAGTGCTCTCTTTTTAAGTCACAGGTCTCAACACACAGTGACAACATGCTGGTGACTCTCTGTGCTCTCATCACTGCTCTAACATGTATGGGACCTCATTTATACTTCAGATTAGTAGTTATTTGTAGGATTCATAAATTTTTGTGTTTCTCTTGACTCCATGTCTTTTTGTTGTTTGCAGGTGTGAGTGGTGTGACGGTGCTGACACAGAAACCTCCTGTTTTATCAGTGAGGAAAGGAGAGACAGCCACCATGGACTGTAACCTGGGGACTGTTACTAACAATGTTGCTGCCTGGCATAAACAGATTCCAGGAGGAAGTCCTCAGCATGTGCTGTATTTTTATCATGGCTATAGTTCTCCATACTATGGTTCTGAGTTCTCTGCTCCAAAATTCACATCCACTCATCAGTCAACAACAGATTATCGTTTAATCATCAAAAATGTGGAGGAGGGAGACTCTGCAGTCTATTACTGTCAAACATGGGACAGCTCTGCTGATAGTGGGGTATCACAGTGATTTACACTGTGACAAAAACCTCCCCACTATTACTTCTGCTTTTTGATGCTCTTTTTTCACATGCTGACAAATGGCCCATTCTACAAACTCAGTGTAAACCACCAGGTTCAAGAGAAGGAGAGGGAAAGAAAAACAGAGAGACAGAGAAAAAAGACACTAAAAATATGTTTGATCACCTGCTTGGAAAAAAAAACAAGCAAAAAGAGAACAACACAGTATGGAAACCACAGCAACAACCAACATAAGCATAAGTAACAGTAAACAATAAATAATGAATGTTACTGAGCAGCACACAAGACTGACAAATCACAATATGTTTAGAGGCAGCAGCCAACCAATGGTGCATGTCTGTGAGTACCTTTTTGTACACACCTGTGTGCAAACAGATACTCACCAGCAGCATTGTGCACCAGGATTAGAAGAGTTACATCCTGAGTGTTAGTAACAGTGGTGCTCAGTTTCATCAGTTTACAATAATATGTGTCACAGTGATAATCAGATTGTTTAACTCTCAAGATGTAGATGAGAGAAACTTTGTTTTTGTGAATCGTGGGAACTATAATTAAACGTTTGTATCACAGTGATCTGAATTTGAACTCTTTGTTCAGTTGTTCAATATTCATTAATGATGTAGCATTTTATAAAATGTTCTCCTAACCCTAACCACTCTGGTTTCATGTGACGTTACACAAAAGTTTATGCATTTTGTTTGTTGACTAATTATAACAATTAATTGTAACAGTTAGTGGGGTTCTGCTCTGTTTTTGTCCAAATATAAAAACTGGTAATGGTTAAAGCATCAATAATAAATCTGAAGGACATAGTAACCAACTTATAATAATAAAATATAACACCACAATTTTAAGGGAGAGGACAGAGACATCACTATCAGCAATAATTATTAATACAAAAACAGAATTACCCTCTACTAAAGACAAGTTACCCAAAACATCACAAACTATGCAGGTTTAGCTCCTCCTCCTGTCAGTCTCTCTGAGTTTCAGTG